TTTTTTTGTACGCACTTGTAATTTCTCAGAGATCAATGGACATGCTTTATTTTATTTAGTATATTGTGCTAAATATAGATAAATCCCCCACACTTAAACTAAACATTGTCCTCAATGTTTTAGACACAATTGAACACATTACACATAACATAAAGTAAGCAACAAAGGAAAGGGTTTAGGGACGCAAATCTGAGTGTGGAACGATTCCCAAGTTCTTCCTTTGTTGATTGCATGGGTTGCCTCCCACATAGCGCTTGCTTTAACGTCGTGCAGCTGGACGAACACCTCCATCAAGCTTCAGGGGAGGCCACGGCATGGAGGGGTGTTTCCTCCACAACATGCTCCTCAAACAAAGTGTAATAAGGCTTCAATCTATGCCCATTTACCTTGAACTCGTGGCCACTTTTCAAGCTTTGGACTTAGACTGCACCATGAGGAAAAACATTAGTAACAACAAGAGGTCCAATCCACTTAGAACGTAACTTACGAGGAAATAACCGAAGTCTTGAATCAAAAAGCAACACTTTCTGCCCCTTGGAGAATGTTTTGGTATGAAGCATCTTATCATGATAAGCCTTCGTCTTGTCCTTGTAGATGGGAGCATTCTCGTAAGCCTCGTTCCTAATCTCCTCAAGTTCATCTAATTGGAGCTTCTTATGAACTCCAGCAGCGTCTATGTCCATATTGAAGGTTTTCACCGCCCAATGTGCCTTGTGCTCTAACTCAACGGGCAAATGACATGGCTTACCATATATAAGCCGAAAAGGTGACATGCCAAAGGGAGTTTTGTAAGCCGTGCGATAGGCCCACAATGCATCGTCCAAGCGCAAACTCTAATCTCTTCTTGAAGGTCCCACGGTTTTCTCTAGGACTTGTTTGATCTCCCTATTTGAAACCTCAGCTTGACCATTGGTTTGAGGGTGATAAGGTGTTGAAACCTTATGCGTAACGTTGTACTTCTTGAGCAAAGCTTCAATGGTGCGGTTACAAAAGTGAGAACCCCCATCACTGATTAAAACTCGTGGCATCCCAAACCTAGAAAAAATGTTAGATTTCACAAAATCTGCAACAACCTTAGAATCGTTAGTACGGGTGGCTTTGGCTTCCACCCATTTGGAAACATAATCGACAGCTAGCAAGATGTAAGTGAAACCAAAAGATGGAGGAAAGGGGCCCATCAAATCGATACCCCAAACATCAAAAATTTCCACAAATGAGAGAGATTACTGCGGCATTTGGTCCTTAGGCCCTATTTTACCTGTTCTTTGACACTTATCACATGTTAAACAAAACATTTTAGCATCTTTAAAGAGATTAGGCCAATAAAATCCAGATTGTAACACCTTTAGGACTGTCCTTTGGGTGCCAAAATGTCCCCCACATGCATAAGTATGGCAAAATGTAAGAATGGAATTAAATTCAGAGTCGGGCACACATCTACGCACAATTTGATCTAGGTAGAATTTCCATAAATAGGGATCATCCCAAACATAAAAACGTGCATCATGAACAAGTTTATCACGTTGGAATTTGTTTAGGGTACTAGGAACTTGCTTAGACACCAAGAAATTGACCAAATCGGCATACCAAGGGGTTCTTACCTCAATGGACAGAAGTTGTTCATCCGGGAATGTCTCTAAGATGGGAATGGACTCTTCTTTACCTACCATTCGGCTAAGGTGGTCAGCCACCACGTTTTCACATCCTTTCTTGTCTCGAATTTCAAGATCGAACTTTTGGAGTAGGAGCATCCAACGAATGAGTCTTGGCTTGGCCTCCTTTTTCGTGAAAAGATACCTCAAGGCTGCATGGTCAGTGAAAACAATGACTTTAGTACCAAGAAAATATGATCTAAACTTATCTAATACAAATACAATAGCCAAGAGTTCTTTTTCGGTTGTAGAATAATTTAGTTGTGCATCATTCAACGTCCGTGAGGCATAGTAGATGACATGCGGCCTTTTGTCTTTTCTTTGCCCTAAAACAACCCCTAGAGCATAATCCGATACGTCACACATTAACTCAAAAGGGAGGTTCCAATTAGGTGGAGCTATGATTGGTGCCGTGGTCAACAACTCCTTGAGTTGATTGAATGAAGCCGTGCACTCCTTGGTGAATTCAAACGCCACTTCTTTTTGTAGGAGACGGCAAAGAGGTTGTGCAACTTTTGAGAAGTCTTTGATAAACCTACGATAGAATCCTGCATGGCCAAGAAAAGAACGAACCTCTCTAACCGAAGTTCGAGAGGGTAAGTGACGTACAAGTACTATTTTGGATTTGTCTACTTCAATGCCGTTTTCAGAGATGATATGACCTAAAACTATGCCTTGTTTAACCATGAAATGACACTTTTCTCAATTAAGAACAAGGTTAGTTTCAACACAACGTTTTAGAATCAAACTAAGATTATGCAAGCAACCATCAAAAGAATTACCAAAGACGCTAAAATCATCCATAAAAACTTCAATGATTTTCTCAACATAATCAGAAAATATACTCATCATGCATCTTTGAAATGTAGCAGGTGCATTACATAAACCAAAAGGCATGCGACGATATGCAAATGTACCAAAAGGGCATGTGAAAGTTGTTTTTTCTTGGTCCTCGGGTGCTATGACAATTTGATTATAACCAGAGTAACCATCAAGAAAACAATAGAAAGCATAACCCGCTAACCTTTCGAGCATTTGGTCAATGAACGGCAATGGGAAGTGGCCCTTCCTTGTGGTGGCGTTTAGCTTCCTATAATCGATGCACACCATCCAACCAGTTTGAATGCGCGTAGGAACAAGCTCATTTTCGGCATTTGCAACCACAGTCACTCCGGATTTCTTTGGAACGCATTGCACGGGCGAAACCCACCTGCTATCAGAAATAGGATAAATCACTCCACAATCAAGTAATTTGATTACCTCTTTCTTTACTACTTCCATCATTGGAGGGTTGAGACGGCGTTGAGCCTCTCGAGATGTTATGGACCCCTCCTCTAGAAGTATGCGATGCATACACATAGTAGGGCTGATTCCCTTTATGTCGGCCAAAGTCCATCCAATTGTCGTTTTGTACTCTTTAAGCACTCACACTAATTTGATCTCCTCTTGTGCCGTGAGTGAGGATGAAATGATGACGGGCAATGTCTCATCCTCTCCCAATAACACGTACTTCAAGTGACTAGGGAACGGCTTAAGTTCAAGTGTAGGTGGCTGCACAACTGAGGGAAGCATTTTATTAGCCGAAACTGAACTTAAAATAGGGTCCAAAAACTTACCTGAATGTGATGGCAATGACTCGAGGGCAGCCACCATCTCAATCATATCTTCCCTAGGGGGCACGGCCAAGGACTCCTCATGCATGCCATGGGGTTCCTTGGTGGTTATTTCGATGGTTTGCATGTCCCTTCCTTGTGCAATAACCAATTCAAGTGCATCGTCCTTCAAATTGTCCAAATGGTCCTGCGCCAAAGAGTCAATTATATCAATAGCAAAACACGAATGATTCTCACTAGGGTATTTCATAGAATCAGAAAGATTGAACTTAATAACTTCCCCATCAAATTCCATTGTCAAATTGCCATTATATACGTCAATCTTCGTACGAGCAGTTTTCATGAATGGCCTTCCAAGGAGGATGGGCAATGAAGGAGCATGGTCTGATTCATCAATTTCAAGCACATAGAAATCCGCCGGAAAGATTAAATGATTGACCTGCACTAAAACATCTTCCAAAACTCCCTTTGGATAGGCGTTAGATCTATCGGCCAATTGTATAATAACACCATCATTTTTCAATGCTCCTAGATTCATAGATGCATAAATTGAATATGGCATTACGTTTATTGATGCACCTAAATCTAACATGGCAGATTCAAAACGAGTATTACCAATGACACATGGAATTGTAAAACTACCCGGATCCTTGCATTTAGGGGGCAGCTTTCTTTGCAAGATGGCTGAGACGTTTTCACCCACTTTTACAACCTCCTTGGTCGAAATCTTCCTCTTATTAGTGCAAAGTTCCTTCAAGAACTTGGCGTACCTCGGGACTTGCTTGATTGCATCCAAAAGAGGGATATTGACTTGAACTTTCCGAAACGTCTCAAGAATGTCATTTTCGGCTTCCTCTTTCTTTGTTTGCATGAACCTACTAGGAAAAGGCATATTCGAAGGAAAAACATTAGTAGGAACTGAACTTAACACATTTTTACCTTTATTGGACAGATTGGATGGTTTAGTGTCACTAGAAACTTGAGGTAAAGGGAGTTCCACCCTTGCCGTGGGTTTGGTTGCTTCCACCTCTTCAAAATGCAGTTTTTCCTCCTCTTTGTGACCTGTTTTTGATGAAGAATCTGCCCCAACTTCTTTTCCGCTTCGCAACACTATGGCTTTTGCAGATTCGAATCCACCTTTCGGATTCACTTGTGTTGAACTTGGTAACTTACCTTGTTCTTTACTAAATTGCCCCATGAATTCAGCCATTTGTCCCACTTGTCTCTTCAACTCAATCACCTCTCGAGCTTGATTTTGCACTTCATTGGCGTAATTTTGCATGTCCTTTGTTTGTTTTTCTTGCCCCTGCGCCAATGTAGTTAGCAATTGGATAACTTGAGAATTATCAAAAGACGAACCTGAGTTGTTTTGGGACGATGGTGGCTGGTTGGATTGGTATGGCCGTGGGAACCCAGGGGGGTTTTGTTGAAATCCCCTTTGTGGTGCAGATTGTTGGGACTCTCTCCACTTGAAATTAGGGTGATCTCTCCATCCGGGGTTGTAGGTGTTGGAGTATGGATCATGTTTGGGTTGGTTTTGGCCTTGGAAACCAATGGCATTGGCAGATTCCCATCCTCCATTCTCTATCAACTGAGGGCATGTCTCGGATGGATGCCCTTGCATTGAACACACGCCACACACTTGGTTTTCTTGTGGTTTTGACCCCTTGACAACCTGAGACACAAGAGAAGTAAGATTAACCAATTGTGATTGAATGTCAGAAATTGCACTTACCTCATTTACACTTTGTTGCCGTGGCCCCTCTCTTTGTCCAACACCTTCATATTGTTGAGCATTGTGTGCTCGGTTTGCAATTAGAGCTTTGGCATCCACTAGAGTCTTGTCCACTAATGCACCACCCGCCGAAGCATCTAGCATTTGACGTTCCATGGGAAGGAGTCCCTCGTAGAAATATTGAATGAGCAGCTCCTCATTCATTTGATGCTGTGGACATGAAACAACAAGTGATTTAAAACGTTCATAATAAGATGGAAACGACTCACCTTGATTTTGTTGGATGCCACTAATTCGTTTCCTCAAGAGAATGATCTTTGCAATGGGAAAAAATTTCTCTAAGAATGCACGTTTCATACTTTCCCAAGAATTGACAGTTCCAGGGGACAATTCAAACAACCAATCTTTGGCCTTGTCCATAAGTGAGAATGGAAAGGCCTTCATCTTCAAAATACTCCCATCCACGTTGATGGGTGTCATACTTGAGCAAACTACTTCAAATTCCTTAAGATGTTTGTTAGGATCTTCCATTGACAACCCATGGAATTTAGGAATATGATGTAATAAACTAGACTTAAGTTCAAATTCTTCCGTCTTACCTTCAGCTGCCGTAGGGTATTGTATGCATAAAGGAACGGCATTGCCCATACCTGAGGCAGAGAGCTCTTTGATGGTTCGATTGTCCACGACCATGGTTTGCACTTCCTCCACAACCTGTGTCGTGGCTTCTCCTTCCTCACCTCCTTCGTCAAACTCGGATGTAGAGCTAGAAGATGGTGGGTTAGGGTTTTGTTGATGCTTTTGCTTCCTCAAGGTCCGCTCAAAATCGTCGTCAAAGTTAAAATGAAAATACATAAAAAAAAGAAATAAAAGAATTAACAAGGGATTAGCAAAGTTGCTAATCCCCGGCAACGGCGCCAAAATTTGATGCGCAATGCCTTATCAGAAAGCGTGTCATTGCATACCTGTAAAGTAACAAGTTTCCAACATTTTAAAAGAAGCTTTACAGAAAGTATTAGAAATGTAACCTAAAACATACAGTACAAAACTATTAAATACAGTAACTAAAATTGAATGAAATTTTCTTTTATAAATAACCACCATGGCAAGTTCTAGAGCATAAATATTTTCTTCAAAATTTGATGCTGCACGTAACAACCTATCAGTTACATTATTCTATTATAATATATGTCTTAATTTCTAGAAAAACTACACCAAGCACCCACCAGTATTTGAGGCCCAAACTATCATGGCAAAATGTAGATCATAAACTTCTTTTTACCTTCAAAACGTGATGCTGTGGAACAACAATCCATCGTTTACATTATTATATCGAAGATATTATTTTAATATACTTTTTTCAAGGCAAATTACATCAAGCACCAACCAGTATTTGCACCCCAAATTAACCCCCACCTTTGTGCTTAAGGGGAAGATGTGCCATGAGCCCTCAAGGCCATCACCGACATTATTAATACACATTAGCAGAATGCAAATCATTTTATTTTTTTTTTGTCAATATATGAGATTATTTTATATTTCAATTCATTGAATGGAAACATTCAAATTACAATGCTATTATACTTATAACCGCTTATCACACCTAAATCAGTACTTCTAAGAAATACAAAGCACATGAGCAGAAATTTGAACACCATGAATGCAACTTCATACTAAAACATTATGGTAGACGAACCAACCTTTCCAAGCAGAGAATCTTCCAGAAATTCTAAAACTTTCTCAAATAAAACAGGAGAGCAGATCCATTTGCTTAAGTGCAAAAATATTTCTGTCATCAGTGTTCAAGACAAAATATTTAACATCATCCTGTCAAACAGAAATAGAAAAGAACCAATTCAAGTTAAAAAGAGAACTTGTAATACTGGCAACAAAAGACCCTCATAAAATGTGAAATGAGTTAGTACAGACACACACACACACATCTACAGCTAAGAATGTGCCTCACATAGTATACATCCCTTTCTAAGATATTTGGTGCCCATATAGCACCTGCCCAGATCCTAAAGTTTGAAATTTCCCCCCAAGAAAAAACTCTAGTTTATGATTCTTACTATACAGTTGGGTTTCAAGAATGTAAGAGCTGCCAAGGAGAAAAAACTCTAGTATATGATTCTTACCATACAGTCAGGTTTCAAGAAAGCAAGAGCTGCCAAGGGGTTGGCCTGATATAATCCATAGAACAAGACAGACTTATGGAAACATGACCTTCTATGAAAATGTCAACATGTTCAGATACCATTAGATAGTAATGAAAACCCCAAAATACTGAATCGAAATTGCAAGACATGCAAGAAATATCTTAGGTGAACCAAACAGAAGAGAAATTGAGAGAAATGCAAGAAATATCTAATATAAACAAAAAATAAAATGTGAAGGTCAAATACACATTATTCATTGCATTTGTACTATAACTTTATACCAATTTTATTCAAAGTATAATATATCATTATCAATGAAATAACAAGGGTCCGAAAAAATGGAATATATCAATGAAAATATTGACAAATACATCGATAATGAGAGAAATTGCAAATGACGGAAATTTTGACACAAAAATACAAATATAAAATATCAAGCAATACTATAGGCTTCCATGCTTACCAAAGTATTAAAACAGAAAGACCATAGAACGGATGCAAAATAAAGTGAGATCAATCAAGAGACTTTTAAAGAAGTCATTTTGCAGAAACAATGATGAATTTAAAAGTTATATTAAGGTTATAACTTATACCTTTTCTGAATGTTGATTTCTCATGTTCAGGGGAAGCAAAACTTGTAAAAACTTCTTTACTAGTGTCACAAAGATAGTATCACACATAGTCACACCATGCCCCCCTTGAGTAGGTTGTGATTCTAGTTTACCCTCATTAGTCATATAAAAGAAGAATTTGACTGCAAGGTTTATGCTGTTAAGTATGGACAGCATACAATCAAATGATTGTGTATTAAGAAGAGAGCCAGTCTGAACTTCCGGAATAAAATCTTGGAAACAATTTACTAGAAATGGGACAAGATCCTTTAGTTTTGGGATGATGATTGAACATCCTACAAAAGAAAGCAAGATGACGATAGGTCAATATGAAAACGAAAAAAGGTATTAAATAATTGGAAGTTCTTGAATTGCTGAATGCTTGTCCCACTAAACCGCAACTTATTAACACAATCTAAGTAACAAGCTAATATTATTAGAGTGAATTTTGATTTCTCCTGCTGTGAGAATGCTGCCAACTGCAAGGCATTTGAAACTAAGAAGTACAAACTAATAAAATTACATAACCAAAATAAGTATTATCATTCCAAAGTTCAGGAACTTCAACTATCAAACTCATATTGATCTTTATCGTGATATGAGCCATGACTAGACACACATGGTGCCATCAGAAGAACATAATCGATAATGACGTATAAACACATGCACCAATGTTTCACATACCAGCAGATTTTGCAGGTACATCAGGCTCAAAAGCATGCAGTATCCCTTGTCCAGCACCATTCTATCAAGTAAAAGGAAAGGTATTACAAAACTATTTCATCAATAAGGCAAGAGACTAAAAGCAGTAACTCAGAACAGTTTCTTCCTGATGCAATTATATGCCTAGATAGTTTTTTTTTTCCCTTTCATTTGGCCTCTGATCACCACTATAACCTAAGAAAAAAAAATACTCTCCCATTCAAAAATTGTTCGTCCAGCTTCAGAAGTGAGATCTCCAAGTATGAATAAAAACAAATTTATTTTCAAAAGTTTCACATGTGCAGTTGAGGCTACTTTTCATGGCTTTCTGACTGACACATGCTTTGCACCCCTTGTCTATACTAACCAAGTAGGGGAAAATGATGATTGTAATAACAATAACAAAATTTAACAGCAAAGTTTCAACAATAATGTGCAATGAAAGAATACGGCTGGGAGGTACAAGAAAACAAGCAGGCTCACGCTGCACGATACAAACAATGAAAGAAAACATGCAAACCCTCCGGATTTTAAGAAAACATAAAAATACCTTTCCACATGAGCCAGCTTCTCTCTTGTTACATGGCAAAAGCAACAAGCATAGTTCCAGGCCGGCAAGAGCAGTCTTGAGCTTGCCCTTGTCCTCTAAAAAAAACTGGTTCCACCGCAGAATATCCTCAAAGCTTTGAAGAATCTGTCAATGAAGCAATCATTAAAACAACCTTAAAAGTTATCTTTAAACACAAAAGAGAGCGGTAACACAGAAAAATTCGAGTTCATCTAATATTTAGATTCATTAACCACACAGACGGACTAAACCATAAACAATTGATAGGAAATAACGCAGTGGAACATATAATGGCAACCAAACAAACAAGCTCACACACCCACCAGGGATAAGGTTTCGAACAAGAATATCTGCGTACAGGAATAACATGTCTAGTGGGAATAAGAAAGAAAGAAAGAAAGAAGATGACAAGTAACCTAAAGCTCAACATCTATAAGAACTTTCGTGTTATTGAGCAGAATGAGAGCAAAGAAAACATGAAGAGAAGAGACCAAGAATTACAGAAAGAGCAGAATCTTGGAGAAAAAGAATGTTGTTGAATAAGGCCTCAATCCGTAACACTAGACCACAAAGTAGCAAACTCTAGCCATAAATTACCATCCGATCTTTGTGACAGGTACATAACTACCAGAATATGCCTAAAGTCCATTCCATTAGAATAATGCATAGAAGAACAACAAACCATATAACAGTTCATAGTTAATGACCAAAGCATAAATCAGAAATTCTACAGTTGTACATCAGAATAACATATCTAATAAATGATTCCAATGAAAACACTGCATACAACATTTTACAGTACAATCTTAGGATACCTTTTCAGCATTCAAGAAGAAGGTGGATGGTATTGGATAGCAAGCTCCAAAAATTTGAAAGCCATCAACCGAACATTGATTGCTAAATGTTTCATTGCATTAAATATATAGGCCATCATCAAGGAAATCAACAGCTCTTGATTATCCTGGACAAGAAAAGAAGGGAAAAAAATGTCACATTAAATTCATTGGCTATAAACACCACCGAACTTAATGATAATAATAGAGAGATGATGACAACAAAATCTCAAAACTACACTTGATGAATCCATCTATACAATAAAAGCAGTGTAGATGTGAAACTACCAAATTGTTCTATTGTATGGAAGATGCATAGCATTAAGAGAAAGTGAAAACTGGAAGGAAAAAGAGTAAGCCCTTCAAAGATAATTTATGTCAATTTCTATGAAAGAGAATTAATTCCATTTCCCCCCCCAGCTAGGAATGGCTTTGCGCATCCAGAAGTATGGCCTGGCAGTTTAATTTAGTGCAATGCACGGCAACAATTGAATAAAATTTGGCATATAAGACACTTGTATCGTGAAAAAATTAAGAGGAAAATAGTGAAATTAACAACCCAAAAGTTTCTTGAACTGCAAATAATAAAAAATAATCGTCCTTGTTTCGCATTAATACATATAATTCACAACAGGTTTTTACCTTGCTGCATTCAGACAAGAATTAAAATTACCTCCTTACAGCCAGGTAAAATTACTGACTTAAAAAGTTGATATAGCGTATCTCAAACCAGCCTATCGTCATCGCCAATGCGTTCACGCAGCTTTTCAACAACAGCATACTTATGCAACCTCAACTCAGTAAATCCTTCATACCCAATAATGCATCTTCAGAGAGAAATAACGGTAAGATTATTAGATATATACTATATGGTACAGAATATCAATAATGGGAAACAACTTCCTAGATAACATAATTATTGAAAAGGTCGTAACTTCTTCAAATTTAACACATTAAAACCCAAATCAATGTGCAGAAATACATGATCAACGATCTAGGTAATCTATTTCAGGTTAAAAATAGATTAATTCTCATATTTTGGAAGATACTATACGGCTGTAAGCGCTTTCATTAAGAAAATATTTTAAAATAACATTAAAATACCTTTACGAACTTTCGGGTTGTAATGAGATGTTTGCTGAAGAAGTTCTTTCAATGTTAAACCTTTCTTGTTCACTGCTAATCCTGCCTTCTCCGATGCCACACTCTGCTCGGGAAGAACAATTGCTGCTCATAGTAACCATTATTTAGTTCTCATTAAGAAACTAGTTCACTACGATATTTGACATCAAAATGGAAGCACAAAGGCAACTCCTTCATCGTGGCAAGAAAAAGTATTTCAAACAATCAAGAGAATACAAACTCTCATCCTTAATTACTCTCGTCACCCCCAAACAAACTTATTTTAAAACGATGACAGAATTTTCCTTTCAATGAATTAACGAAAAACAACAGAGAGTACAAAAAGCAATATCAACTCATGAATTTAAGAACAGATTAAAATCAAAACCTTTGGACTTAATTTCAGTATTCGTAGCGTTCTTTGGTGGCGGCAACTTTCTGCCAATCTTTCGCTTTATTTTCTGCAAAAATTACAAAAGAAAATAAACATCAAATGCAAACAAAGTTTTCAGATGTTGAACTTCCCAAAGAAAAATGCATTCAAAACCTGAAATATCGATTACTTTGAAGTCGATGCCGCGCTTTTGCTGCTTCTTTGCCGGAGCCTTGGAGCGTGCCATTTATACCTACAGCATACACACAGGCTCTGCTGATCATATCAGATAGTGTCAAATGACAATGCAGCGCCGTTTTCAGGCCTTCGCCAGCTATTAAGAACAAGAACTCCAGGAGCAGTAAACTAAACCAGCTCTCCGTTTGGCAGCTCAGAAAATTTGGGGAAGTAAAAAGGAAAATAGCAACTCTAAAAAATTAAAGAGAACGAATTGTTTCTCTCTTCCTTTGCGTACCTTCTTCTCGGCAACCAAACAGCGGAATGGAAACAGTAAGCTGTAGTCTTCGAAGTGCAAAGCAACGAAGTTGAAGGAGGAGGAGGAGGAGGAGAAGGGAAGAGAAGGTCAAGGAACGAGAAAGTGACAGTCACGGCGGCGAGGAGTAATTGCAGAGCGTTCTGAGAGGGAAGGGGGAGTTTTGTGGATCGGCGGAGAGATACAGTTCCTATTTTATTTCAATTGTAAATAACTTATTTTTATCCTAAAAATTTTATAATCGAAATTTTTTAAATTCTTAAAATTACTCAAAGATTATTCTTATATTGATTTTTTATCATAAATAGTCCCTAAAATTGATTTTCACCATCAAGATAGTCTTTGAAATTGAAAACCAATCAATGTAGTCCCTGAAAATAGGTGTTACAAATCAATGTGGTCGTTCCATTATAATTATGTTAAAATTTCCATTAAGTATTGATGTGGCACATAAATGGACTTACAAGATTTACGGGTTTTTATCATAAATGATCCCTGAAATTGACTCACACCATCAAGATGATCCATTGACCTAGGGCTGGGTTCGGTTCTTAATGGTTCGATTTTTTGGCAAAACCAAAACCGAAATCGAATCGAAATTTCGGTTCAATTCGATTCATTTTTTTTCTGTTTTTAATCGATTCGGTTTTTTTTTCGATTCATTTTTTCAGGTTCGGTTTCGATCTGGTTTTGATTTTTTGATTTTTTATTTTTATATAAAATAAAAGCAAGGTCTAATGGTCTATGACTATAATCATCAAAAGATACAAAACATATAAGATGAAAAAGCTATAGATGCACAACAAACTTTAATCTTTCTGTTGTTGGGTGACAAATAATTAAAAATCAAAATCAAACATATTTTGGTTCTCTTTGAAATTTAGTCGTTGAGCTCGTATTCCTCATCATATTACTCGAAAGTATTGACACCTAAATACTAATTAATTTGACATTTGGAAAGTAATCTACAACTCATAAGTCATAAAGATTCAATTAGCAATCCTCCTCCTCCGGTAAAACTTGATTATTTATAATTATGTTTTTTTTTTTTTAATTTTTGAACAAACAGCTACGAATGAAGACTGAAGTGGAGGCCACGAGCAAGAACATACAAATTCCATAACTTATGATGGAACAAACAGGGTTTGTTGTGTTCAGAAAAAATTGGTCTACCCTATGTACTACGTTTAAAGGATTGGTTTTGGTTTTGGTCTACCCTATGTACTACGTTTAAAGGATTGGTTTGGGTGTTGTGTTTAGAAAAAACTGAACAAACAGAACCGAATATAATGGTTCGGTTCTTAACTAAGAACGAGGAGAACCCAAATATAATTGAGGAAGCTACCCCTTAAGCTACTCTAAACCCTATGTACTCTCACAAATTAATCAAATCCAGCATACCCAAAACAAATTGAAAAGCTACAGATCAGATTCATCAGAACCAACGAAATTGAAAAAAAAAAAAAAAAAAAATCTGCAAAACGCATCAGGGGGTGAGATGTGACAGCCCGTCCCGGGAATGTTAAAACGTACGCGTGAAAAGACTATTTTGCCCCTAGTTCGATTTCGTTACGTTATTGGTTGTTTTTGTGTTGTGTTGGCATGTTTTGGGCCACACACTCACACTCCCACACCCCACACCTTTCTGTCCCTTTCCCTGTGATTGTCCCGAGCCCCATTTCCCTTCCCATTCACCATATACGTATGGACACACACCCAAAACCCATTAAACCTCCACAGATCGAGAAAACCAAGACCATATTCGAGCTCGTGAGGCTTGTGGGAGTCCAACCATACCATTTCCAGGTAAGAACACCATCGTTTTCACGTCAAATCCACAATGTCCGAATTCGAGTACTGTTCATGCACACGTGATTTCTCACGTTTTAGGGAATTTCAAGCTTGTAGGTAGCTTGGTGAGGTCCCAAGGAGGCTCGAAGTGGTTCGTTTGAAGGAATTGGACGTCGGGATCACTAGTTTCGAAGTTGGCCGGAGTTGGGTTGAATTTTCAGGTGAGATTTCGTGGGTTTTAACCCTTGAAAGTAGTATGATTGTGTTCCTCTAGTTCTAAGCTTCATTTTGGTACCAATATTGTGAAATTTGGATGAAAAACGAAGGAGTTAGGACGTTTTAAAGTTTTCGCGATTTTCCGGCGCCGGAGGCTCGCCGGGGAAGAAGACGGAATATTCCGTCAAATCTGACGGATTATTCTTGACGCCGTTGACGGAAACCGTTAAGGTTAACGGAATATTCCCTACGTCGTCAGTTGACGCCGTCAGCGTGCTAGGCACGTGCCTGCGCGTGGCCGGCGCATGAGGGCGCGTGCGGTGGTGAAAAATTATTTTAAAAATATGGGGATGTTCCTGAGGTTGAGTAGATCACGTTGGTGTATTCATGCACCCCATTTGAGTATTGTATGAGAAGTTATTTCTAAACTTTGGTTATGTGCTTTAAAATTAACGTTTTTATAGTTATTTCGCATATAGGTGAGACGTATTCCGAGGACGAGCGTGGTCACTCGAGGCAGGGGGGTTACGACCCTTCCACTTATCAGTGAGTGGGCTTTTGGTTTCCATATATACCTATATACTTATATTTCCCAGAAATTGATTTAAATGTTTATTAGTTATATGCCATTTTTATATTGTTGGTTATTATGCATGATTAGTTGCATTTATATATATATATATATATATGTTCGTATGTATTGGTGTTGTGGATGCACAGGTAAGTGCCAGGTAAGTGTTATTCACGTTTATATTCAGTAGTGATTTGAGATGCTTAGAGAGCTCATAACCTGCACCCTCGGTGTTAGTGCTCCCGCCCAGAGTAGGGCACAGTCCTTCACGTGTTGTTCACCTCCCGCACCACACGCTCAGCTTGGATCCAAGTTAGGTGCACAGTCCTGTCGTACAGACCACTTTAGGTGGTTCCGACTCGTAGGTGACCCACGATTATTCGCACAGCCTTCACGTGATCGTAGCACTAGAGCGTTTATATGTATTACACCCAGGCCTGTTGTACAGACCACTTTAGGTGGTTCCGACTCGTGGGCAGGTTTAGTTATTGAGATTGAGATTGGAGCTCTAGATACAGCCGTACAGGTCACGTTAGGTGACTCCGGCTGCCAGATTATACGTTATTAATATGATTTTTCACCTAAGCACTTGCATTTCATTGTGAGATTTGGCATGGCATATTCTTAAGCATGATTGGTATATATATTTATATGTACAAATGTTTATTTTCTGGGAAGTATACAGGTTTTACGGCGAGGGGTTAGAACTTATTTTGTTAAACGGTTTTTGAAAAGCTTTGTTTTTGCCCACTCACGCTTTTGTTTTGCGCCCCTCCAGGTTCTAGCTATCTAGCAAGTTTGGTGGTTTCCCAGAGGGCTTTTCCGGCATTTCTGACAGACGATCACCAGCGTAGGGCCACCTTCGGGTGTACTGTTGTCGTGTCATTTAATTTGGACTGCTTTAGGCGTTATGCTCTGAACTTGTGCCTCACTTACGCTAGCACTTATTACTTTTACCTTATGTATGCTAGTTTTTAATTATTCGTACTTCTTCTATTATTGTTTTTATAAGGATTAGGATGCTTATTGATAACAGTGCAATTAACATGGTCTCAGCACATTCGTTACGTTTTGGTCATGTTGTTAACATTGGCTTCATTTATTTAATTACTTGTTATTTTGTTAGTAGGTTGAAGGCTAATGGGTTTTGGGAAATCTTATTTATTTGGAGTTTACTTACAAAGGAGGCATTACAACTTTATACACAAGGGATTACAATTATCAATAGAATTTCAATTGGTGGTTCCAAGGATTGGCAACCGACAAGTTAGGAGAAAGATATTTGTGAGATCAAGCAATAAAATCCTTAATTTTATTAGAAGAACGTGGTCCTACGAATTGGAAAAGGGGGCAAAATATAAAGAGAAGAAGCAGTAGCAAAGAGGGGGACTCTGATTTCGTCTGCTGGCGTGAAACAAGGCAGCGGCAGGGGGATGTGTTTTCTTCTAACATGAAGCAGAGAGGGCAGCGGCAGGGAGGATTTGATTTGGTTCTTCTTCTCTAGTTTTAGGTTAAATAGCCAAAATTGTAAGAACCCGTCCCGGGATTTACGTAAGAAAATAGGTATTTTTGTATTTTCACTAAGTTTGGGGGATACCTTCCTTTTTAAAATTGTTTTTGAACCTTAATTGGTGAGCCCAAGGGGCCCACCCCCTGTTTTTGTTCCCCGGTTCTTCCCTTTCCCTTTCTTTTTTTTTCTTTTTCTTCTTTTCCTTCTTTTGTTTTGTTTGTCTGCACCTTTTTCCTTTCTTTCGAACTCCCCCATTTCTCTCTTCTTCTTCCCCATGAAAGACACACAGACACACACACCCACAGCTACACCTACTCGAGGAAATCATCACCATCGTCGCCATTCAACTGCATATATATATCTCTCTCTCCCTTGCTCACGGCGCCGGGAGGATACGAACACCTCCGGCGAGTTTTGTGATTTTTCCAGTTGGGTAAGCCCTTTTTCTTCTTCTTTTCTTATGTTAGACTTTGCCTAGATGTAGTTTTTGAGTTTGGGTTCTTGATTTCCAAGGTTTTGGAGTGTTTTTGGCACAGGTGAGTGCACACCCAAATTTCCGGCGAGCACCGTCCCTTTCGAGGCGATTTCCGGCCAAACCACGGCGAGTTAGACGTCGTGTGAGGTACCATTCTCTTCGTCTCTTCGAGAGCTATGATTTTCATTTTTGAATCACTTGATTTCGTCGAGTATTAACAAAGTTATGGACGTTCGAAGTTTGTCTAAATTCCGGCCGAATTCCGGCCTTCTTCTCCGGCGTGAAACGTTGCCCAAGAAAACACCCAGGCCTTCGGGCCATCTCCCACACCCACGGGCTTAGAGCCTTTTTGGTTTCTGGCCCAATACCCTCACCCTTTCTATTTTTATTTTTAGTTTTGTTTCTTTTAAAAACCCAAAAGGCCTTAGGGCCTTGGTTGGAGCCCAAACCCATTTTTCCCCTTTTTAATTAGGCCTTAGGGCCTGTTAGCCCAAAACCCATCACCCTTTCTGTTGTGGGCCTTTGGGCCGTATGGGTTCAAGCCCAACCCAACCCACTTAAAAACCTAACCCAATTATCCTAACCCAAACCCTTTAGGCCAAACCCGGATCCAACCCAAGTCCAAACCCTTTAACCCAACATGGATC